TTTGTATTTTATGGCACATTTGAACATCGTATGTATGTACATATGTAACAATTAGAATGAATGGCAAATTTGAAGCACTTAAAATTGCGAAATTTTCATCAAATAGAAAATATGTGAACTTTGGAATCAACTATGCATTGTATTTTTTCCAATTTTACGGTTCCTTGACGAAATTGACCGAGTAATTTCCTTTAAATAAATACGCATACATACATACCTTAAATTGATAACCAGAAGTAAAGTTCATTATACATTTCAAGGTCCTTCAATATAAAACGAAAAATTGTATTCCAATTTACCAATGATTACCAATTTTAAAAAGCATTTACCACTTAGCAAAAGGTAGCAAAATATTTTCAAGTATTTGGACATAAGAGTGCTGTCCATATTTTCTTTAATATAAGGTACTGACCCCATTCCTGGCCAGGATCGGTGTTAGCTTTTTTATGTTCCAGGCAAAGTGCTTCTTAGAACCGTGATGCCCACCAATAATATCCCTAAAGCACTCAATTTTTTTTGTAGTATTCAAAAGGAATAAAAATTTCACTGATAAAGAAGTATCTTATTATTTTGACTCTAACTCTATGTGCGTATGAAAATTATACATACAGTGATGTGCGATGAAATAGAGCCAGTACTATCGAAATTATTTAAATTAACAAATCATATAAAAATTCACTTTTTTCATTTATTTCTTTAATAGGTTAAAAAGAACAACCTATGAGGCGTATATTAAAAAACAAATTAAACAGCTTAAGTCTAAAACATAAACGAAAAAATTCAAAATTCATTGGTATTTCTTATTTCGGCTGTGACTTGAAATAGAGCCAAANAATAGCACATTTTCACTGATTTCTTAAAAATGAACTCGAAGTTGAATTCAGAAGTAACGGGAAAATATACACAGACGATGTGAGTACTGAACTACAATTAGTTCATAGCATGTTAGATTCTTAAAAAAAATTTAAGTGCAATAATATCATCAGAAAATGTATGGCTTTATTTCATCGCACATCACTGTATATAATTATACCAAAAATGAAAATTAGGCAAAATATTTCTCTATCTAAAAATATGTTTTCAAGCAATTTCTAATTTTGCTAATCAATATTTCAACTCAATTATAGTAAATAACAACAAAAATATTAAAAAGTATACACTCTTGTTTTTGTTTTCTCTTTTCCACGAGCTATATACGCCTTCAAGTATACATTGTAAATGTGTATATATGCAGGTACATCTGATCCATCTATGCTTGCACCTTCTGACTCTGTATTCAAAATTTACCTGTAACCTTAGTGTAAATTAAGCTAAAATCAGGTTTTGTGCATAAAACGCAAACAAAAGATATTGCTCTAAGAAGTTGCAAGAAACAACGGCAGCAGCATCAAAGGCATGTCCGTGTAGCTATATTTACAAGTGACATACTAGCATGAACATACATACATGCGAGAAACTCGATATCTCACTGCAGCAGTTCTGCAAATCCCTACAACAACTATGTGCATATAAATGTGGCAAGCATAATTCACTCGTCGCGGTTACTTCCACAAGTATGTTTCTTTAACGCCTGGCTGATCTCCGGTCTGCTCGCCGAGCAATCATCTGTTGGTTGACTTAAGTCCCTTTACTATTTTATCTTCGATCCACATGTTCGCTGTTGCACATGACGATTGTTTGTTGCAGGAATATTTCTACCTAAATACCTAGAATAGAATATCTGAATACATGTGCATAAGTTTATAAAATCTATTTAGCTTCCCTAGGAAGGAAGCAAATAGACTATTATGGCAAAATTGCCCTCCCTGCATTTACCATTAATGAAGGAAGCAAAACGCAAAATTAATACAAATGCAGACTGTTTACTATTTAGAATATGTTTAAGGCATCATATTTTCAAATATGTATGTAAACTTTTTTTTTTTTTTTTTAATTTTGATAAGTTTTATATTTATATATAAAAATTTGCTTGAACTTTCACAGTCAAACACGCAAACATACTTCACACATACTTGTAACAGTGAATGGAAAACGGAAATTTAAAAATTTCCCGTTTTCGTCACCCTAAAAATGCCAAAAATTAAAAATCTAATGATAAGAGATTATTTTTAATTTATATGTGGGCATTTGATTTTGACGTCTAGTATAAGCAAAATACACAAACTTACGTATTTACACATATAGAAATATAGAAGCCTTCAGTATCCGTGCTTGTGTGATACAAAAAATCTATAAGCGTATTTAATGTATTTTTTGACATGAATTCAGATGTTCAGTGTTATGCGCCAATTTTTCTACTCAGTGGATTCTCACAACATTCTCGCACGCAAATCAGAAAAAGCGTTTAATTTTTCGTGGTGCAGTAAAAATAATAAATATAAAAGAAGAGGCGGAGTGACGTTGTTTCTGGCAAAAAATTAAAAGATCGGTTAAATTTTTATGGTTTTGTATGTATACGTAACATTCATATATTTAAAAGATCGGTTAAATTTGTATTGCTTAGTATGTGTACGGAACATGCATACATTTGAACACTTAAATGTAAATACTTTGGCTTACATTATAACGTACATAATTATGTACGAGATGTGAATATGAATTAAAAAACATATTTAATTATTCACAGACGCTTACTGCGTTTATTAATTCTAATAGTCTAATAAAAAATAGTGTGATTTTGTTAATAATTTTTAAGTTCTTAATTTATTATTCAAAATCCTTCATCATCTCCATCCTTCTCCACGAAATCCCCTGTGGACCCAATACATTTGTGTCAACTTTTTTCCAATCTTCCACACACTGAATAGTCATTGACTAAAAACTATTTCCCCGGTCTTGGTTTGTCGTCATCCGTGGTCGGCCTTCTGTGATTAATTTGTACTAATGAAAAACACCTCCTCGTGACAAGAATTGTTATCGAAGGCCTTTTCCAACATTCTGAATATTTCGCCACCAGAAATTTGATTCCGCACACAAAATTTAATGGAACAAGTGTGTACTAAACACCAGTTATTATTTTGATGTCACATTGGATAAAATAGTATGATCGAGTCTACGTAATCGGAACGGACCCTGATTTTTATCCGGCCAAAAGACTAAACTCGGCAAAATTCTGCAACAACAACTTCTAATATTATGTACTGCTATATGCTATAATGGTTCGAACTAAACCATTTTTTCGGAGATTACACCGTTACTTAGGGCAATAAACCATACCATTTCATGAAGATATCTCGTCAGCTATCGTATCGATGTCTAAAAAACTGACTGACGGACATGGTTAAATCGGCTCAGCTCACCACAGAGATCTTTTACATATTATAGGATTTTCAACGTTTCCTTCTGGGTATTAAAAAACTTGGTGGCAAACTTAATAGCTGATAATTATTATAGACAAATTATTCCTATATAAACTTTGTTAATTATTGTATTTGCTTCAAAGGAAAACCAATAACAAGCAATTTTTCAGGGTTGCGGAAAATGTAACAGGTAGAATATGAGCATACTATACGTGTATGCATGTATGTGCATACATATGTCAAAGCAAATCGTCCATTTGTTTTTCCCTATATGCTTTTAAAATAAACGCAATTGAATGTGTAAAACATTCACTAGAATATACCACATTGCAACTTACCACTTTTAGATTGTTCATCTATTGTTTCCATTGCGTCCATATAACTTTTGTAATATTCCAGCTATTTTATGTATACAATTTGTTAAATAGCTAACCTTCTCGCAGAGAGGTCACGTATTTTTGGATACGAATAAAACACTTAACTTCAATAATTCAACTAAATTCCATAAATGTAAATTTTAAAATGAGCACACATTAGCGTACATTGTACACATAACTGGGTTTGCAGCTGTTGACCGACCGGTGATGGAAAATACTCGTAACTTAGGGGAAAGCAACAAACACCTGGTTTGAAAGTAACACAATTTTTACCAAACGAATACTATTTTAAATAGAAATATTATTTTATTCAAAATCTCACTTATATTATTAGCACCACAAATTGTACTGAGCCACTTCTTTTAAGACACTTCTTTGAAATTTTCGCCACTGCGCGCACAGTTTCAAGGGCGCGCGAAATATTTAAAGCCTTTTGTTCTGATCGTCTTTCCAAATTCAGTTTTCTTTCAAATAACTTTTCTTTTTTTATTTCTTTTCTTCACTCTTTTATTGTTTCAGTTGATAACATTTTTCTGATTTTCTATGCGATGTACACATCGAATAATTTAGAAAAATCCTCATTTTGTATCCCAATGAGAAAATTACTTTTCACCGCCGCATCCGCAAAATTCCAAAGTGAACCGAACATAAAATGCAAAACAACCACAAACAAATACACTGCGACGCTGCGCTACGAATACGGCGAAATTCAAGTGACTGCGGCGCTCTGCCTTCAAAAATTGAACCTCAACGGACAGATAAATGCTATGAAAAAGTGAGGTTACGCTGCGTTCAATTAGCTCTGACGCTGTCAAAGAATGTTTTTATTACTAAAAGATAAGAACGCTCTTTTCTATTGTGCTACTGTTACACAGGGGTCGCTGTGAATTATCTCAAATATATAATATATCAATTTGTTTAATTGTTATAATTGAGAGAAATAACTACAAAATAATTCAATGCAACATGTTTTAATTGCATAACCTACTTCAATATATTATTAAATATCAGTAGGAAAACATTTCAGAAGTCATTAACACAAGGTATTTATAGGTATATATGTGTACCATATATGAAAGTATATGCTTGGAAATAATGTTGTGATACGTTTATATTACTAAATTAATTCATCATAATTATTTATTACCATTTCCATAGGTCTTAGAATGAACAATATTTTCCAACTCGGTATTCGGTTAGCCATCCTTACTACTCGTTGTATTTATGTCACTAGCGTAAACAGCACATCAATGCAACAATACGTCAAACCGTACAACTGACAGTTCTTCAATATGTCCATCAGTATATATTTGTTTGTCAATCCTTCCAGTAGTTCAGAATTAGCGTAATAACTTCGGTTATTATTGTGGAATTAAAACTGAAACTTTTTAATGTAGAATTTTATTCCGTTTCCGGTCGCAGTTTCTAATTTTCAATAACTGTCAAAATTCAAAATGTTGGCACCGGATAAGTATCTCTCTCCAATGAAACAAATGACTGGTGCCGAAGAAAACCGACACTTTTTGCGAGCATTCATACACACATATAGGGACTTGCCAGTGTTATGGGACACTTCTTTACGGGATTACACAAATCGCGATAAACGCGCTGAAGCATATGAACAACTTGTACCCATATATCGCTACCTCAAGCGAGATGCAAATGTCGAAGACGTTAAAAAAAAAATCAACACACTGCGCACAAACTATCGAAAAGAATTGAAAGTTGTGGAAAGTGCGCGACGCAATGGAACCATTCATCATCCACGTTGTTGGACTTTTCTTGAATTAGATTTCCTACGCAACACCGAAAAGTTTCTAGCTGTCAATCCAAGTACACGGGGTGATTCATTTTCCGCCTTCAGTGAGAATTCGCAAACACAATCCTCCTTTCTGGATCCACCAGGTTCCACTTATAATTTTCGCTCCATGATGGGAGCAAACACGGTGCAATCACCTCCCAATATTGCCGAAATGTTCCATAAATCTTTTGGGCACACGCAAAAATTGGAGCCAGATCAAACTCCACCACCGTCTGCACCACAAGTGGCAAGTACGAGTACGTCATCCAATGGGCACTCTGTAAATTCATCAGATTACAATCACACAGGACAACAAGCAGATTCTGTAATTAGCTCAGCAAAACGTTTGCGTTTTTCACCGGCGAATGCCACAGGTGGTACCGGTCAAACGCCAGATGAGTTGCTTAGTATAGCTTGTGACTACCTTTCCAGTACATTTCCTGAAGAGGAATCTATTGCAAGGACCTGGACTCATAAGCTCAAACGTTTACAACGTGAGCAACGTTTATTAGCGGAAAAATTCATTAATGAAATACTTTTTGAGGCGGAATCAGGTACTCTACATCGTGGTTCGGTGCATATTAATAGTTTCGAGCCATTTGTACGTTTTGAAGAACAATCAAGTAATGACCAAGAAAATACCAAATCGCAAAGTCCCAGCGTACATACATCCACCACAACAATATCGCATGACGGTGAAATTAAATCTACTTCGAACGCTGGTGCATCTGAAAACGGCAATGCTACCGTTAATGAAAATGTATACGAAAACTATCAGAACTAAACATTACTTAATTACTTACATATGTATTAAACTAACATGTAAATAAACTTATGTAGTGCTCAATGGTACTTCTATTATCTAGAATTTGTTATCAAAACTTTTTTAATTAAATGAATTTCTCAATATATTTACATACATATAAACTAAAAATAATGTTTTATTAAACAATTATTCTAATGACTAGCAGAGATGTACGTAATTTATTAAAATAAACTATACCGTTACGCCAGTTCTCTCCGTAAGTTTTACATTCATTTTTAGTTGATGCGTTGATAGTTTGACATACTACGAGCACACCACAAAAATGGTGATGCCGCGGCAAACAACAAACTAGCACCAATCATTGGACGATGCAGGATCCACGCAATTGAGGCTATAATTAGTGCAAGGGACAATGATAACATGATATTAGCACCAACGGGGAACTGTGGATCCGGTGCTAAGACAGCGAGGAAAGCAATGCGGCTTACTGGGGGAGCGATATGCAATATTTTTTTTTTATTCATAAATCTTATATTTTGAAAATACTTACACACAATATGTAATAGCTTGGATGTGCACGTAACACCAAAGAACACCAAAACCCAACCCATAAAGCGATAGCCCCATGTAGTAAGTCGTTGCGCGTGATGTTCTCGCTTAAAAACTTCCCCAAGCCCGAGTTCGCCGTTATATACAAGCAGAATATCAACGCCTCGACTGGTTCGATATGGCAATATTTTGTTATTCATCAATTTTCCTACTACAGTGTACTAAAATAAATATGTATTTATATTTGACATATAGCAACTATAATTGTTTCTTTTACGTACCATTTCGCCCTCCATTCCAGCAAACGAAAATAGTAAACGTATATCGCCTATTTCCGGATTAAAAACATCGTTTGTGTGGTAATATAGCCCTAGATGCATTTTAATTGTTGGATCGTCTGGCCTTGTATCGGAAGTCAATTCCACATAGTTTGAAAATTTATTCTTGATTTCGTTACCCAGTTCGTACTTGCCAATGAAGACCGCGTCAGCAACTTGTGTTTGGCTTTCAATAGGAAAGCGATCGGGATTTTGATGTCCCGTTCGTATGTAAAAATTACGGGAGTCAATTAATTTGTCACGCCACTCGGTATAGTAATAGTACGTACGACTTTCTGTTTGCACAGAGGCAACACTTTCCCCATAATTGTGTTCCCTGCGCAGAAAAACGATTATTTATACATATGTATGTTATTCTATAATAAAAATAAATTCTGTAATAAACGTTTTGCAAATGATTTTCATATTTAAACAATATTTGTGTCAAATTCATTAAAACTGATCTCACATTGACTCCTCCACCCATTGAAACATTTGTACCCGACGCTTCAATTTTACGGCAAGAACTTGTATATTGTAGTCTGGTTCTGTAAGTGGTTCTCCAATCACAATAGATCCAGTCATATGTACTATCCGACCATTGTAATTGTATTCCAACTCTTCATTAGGATCCAAAGTTATTGCATCATCAAGTGCTTCATCAAGAGATAAAATTGTGTGCACAGCTCGTCCCTATAATTGCCAAAAATATAAATTTGTTGTTAAATTAACTTAACAAGGTGAATTTACTTCATTCCAGGAGAGTACGCATAATCCTCCAGTAAAAAGTATACAGCCAAAAGTAGCTATTAGCCAATTTGACCGGAATGCCTCCAAAAGCGCCATTACTAAACTCTCTACACACACTTATTTCTCAGAGATAAATGAAACATTTCATCTTAATGTTTAATATAACAGAGCTATATGTTTTCTCTAAAATAAGCGATTATTGCTAATTCTGAAGGCATCTTCTGACAAAATGCGAAATACATTGCAGAAAGACAGGGAGGTCAAACGTGTAACAGCTGATTTTGAATTAGATTCTGAACCAACATGTGACGAGTAGCTGTTTTGCATGTAAATAAACTGTGGGTGAACCGGTGGCATAGATAACGCGGTGGTAGTGTTTGTTTACAATAATTAGAATATTATTCAACCCTTTTACCTAAATAACTTGAAACATAACAAATAGTCTTATATATATCGAACAATATGGTTTTACCTTCAGCGGAAGAACTTGCTGATTTGGTGTTCAAAGAATTTAGGCAATTACCAAAAACTGGAAAGCCCGCCACGAACGAGTGGACAATCCTTTCTGCCATACTAATGCACGATACTGCAAAAGGTACAATTAAAGTCGTATCTATAGGATGTGGCACCAAGTGTGTAGGCAAAAAAAATCTTTGTTGTCAGGGTTTCATCCTAAATGACTCTCACGCTGAAGTACTTGCTAGACGTGCACATCTGCGCTATATTTACTATCTTTTGAAGCGTGTAATAGAACACAGGGATGATAGTATTTTCCAGTGGGATAATGAAAACGTTTGCTTTCGATTACGACCAGAACTAAGTTTTCATTTCGTTAGTACACAGACACCTTGCGGTGACGCTTGTATTCGAAACGAAGCTATTGAGGAAAAAAGTACAAAAGAAGATCGTAATATTAATGATGCGCCCACTGAACCAAAGCAAAAAAAACGAAAAACGAATAATGAAAATAATGAAAAGGAAGGCTATACACCCAACGGCGATGATAATATAGGTGCTCCCTTACAGGAATGTCCGAATGATGCTGTCTACACAGGTGCGAAATTAATAGGTTTAACAGATGAACAGGATGCAATGCAGCAAAAAATCGGCGCCGTAAGAACGAAACCTGGCCGTGGAGACCGCACACTATCTATGTCATGTAGCGATAAACTGGCGCGTTGGAATGTGTTTGGTGTGCAAGGAGCTTTGTTGGACACATTACTAGCGCAACCTATTTATTTTGAAACACTGAATTTTGTTGGAGGTGCAACAAATGAGGAAGCAATCAGGCGGGCAATATATCAGCGCTTTATTGACAACGAATTTAAATCTACCAGGTTTAATGTTCACAAGCCAACAATAAGGTTCGCTGAAACCGTTAAGTTTGAATATGCTGAGAATGACAACCGAAAAAATCCAGCTGCAACTGGTATATCATGGTGCAACATTCCTATAGATTTAAAGTAAGTTAGTTATACCCTGAACAGGGCATATTAAGTTAGCTACGAAGTTTGTTTGTAGATTTAAAGTAAGTTAATTATACCCTGAACAGGGCATATTAAGTAATTTACAAAGTTTGTAACACCCAGAAAGAAGCTCAGTAGATCCATGGCCGTCTGTCATACACATGTTCTTTTTTCCCCAAGAAGCTTCTCATTTGTCGGTAGGACCGATACCGAATCACCATACCATGAACGACCAAAATTAAGATCTTGTATGAAAACTTTTTTATTTAACAAAATATTTTTACGAAATTTGGCATTAATTATTGGTTAAGTATAATTTTCGAACAAATTATTCAGATCGGACCATAATAGCACTGTCATAGACAGTATTCGATTAAAAGCAAGTCCTTATATGGAAAGCTCGTACATTTACCGATATATCCACGACATTTGGGATGTATTATTGTCTAAAGCTTTGGATTAATTTCCGAACAAATTGTTCAGATCAGGCCACTATATTAAGATACAAACCGAACTATCAAAATCAAATTATTGTAATTTTCTTATTATAGAATATTTATATGTATGTTTACAAAATTCGAGATGTCTTACTGTCCAAGGCATGGCAAAGTTAAAACCTCCGAATAAATTGTTCAAATCGAAGCAATTTAGCATAATACATATGTATGTGAAGTAATACATTTTAATTTGTGAAGTGTACTGAAATTAAGAGTTTTATTGTTTTTATTTTTTTAAATTAATGTTAATCCAATAATAATAATTTTGTATCCTTTGTAGACCCTACGAAATCTCAGTAAATGGTCGTAAACAAGGTGTTACAAGAAAAATGTTTGGCACGCTACAAGCTGCAGTAAAAATTAGTAAATACAACCTATTGCTTGAATATGTGGATATATTACGAGTGGAGCCGAAACTGAGACAAAAATATCTAATCGATCACGAAAAGCTTGAAAATTACGAATACCATACATATAAACAATTAGCAAGAGAGTATCAAACAGCTTGGACCATGGCTAAACAAAACTACTTTTCACAATGGACTGAGAAACCACCGTATTTGCTGGCATTTACTTTAAAAATACGCACATTCGATTGAAATATGGTCAAGTCATTTATTTATATGTATAATGTCAATAAATATYGGATGTGTGTATGTATGTAATAATAACTATATTTGTGATACAATTGTTCAACTGTATAAATATTATTATGTACAAATTTTGCTTCCCCTCAGCTGAAATAGAATTAATTTAATTTTTTTGTTTAATATTCGGAACATCAATTAGCAACGAAAAGCTATGTATATAAGTTTCAATATGTTAAAACACACAGACGCTTATATTTTGTTTAATACAAGCTGCTGTGGAATAAGCATGATTTTTTGTTTTTTATTTATCGCAAATTTTTCACATTTAAAAGCACAAATATAGTTGTTTATTTATATTAACTGTGTTCAAATACATTATTTGTTTATATTAACTGTATTCAAATACATTTTTATTTATTTTTTACAATCATCTTTATTATTTATTATGCGCCTTTGCATGGTTTTGATTATAATTATGGCAAACATCGTTAATTATTTATTTCGATTAGTGTGAATTTTTGGTGTTGTTTGGCGTGGATATACTTAACCTCCAAATAAAAAGTTGACAAACGAAATCATTTTGAAATTTCAGTTTTATTGAAATGTAATCAATTTAAAATAGATACAATTTCGTTTATTATATAGACGCTTACGAACGAGTTTAACAAATAAAACTAAGCACATACATGCATAAAAATATTCGTAAAATAGAAATAACACAACTCCAAAGGACGTTAACGAAATTATTAAAACATAAAAAATTCTACAGAAATATAAAATTAATATTCTTACAAAGTCATCATCATAAAAGCATAAAAATTAATAAAATAATAAATCTATTAGCACTACTATGTAAAAGGCCCCACAGACAA